TCGATTTGCTCGAAATTTGAGCATTTTCTTGTTTCCTTGTTTCCTTGTTTCCTTCTCACTTGCATGACTGAAAAAGTCCTTTAAATATTCGCTTAATATTTTAAAGTGCTGTTTGTATAGATGGATTTACATGTACAGTACCTATCTTGGATAACCATTATCTCTTTTTTTGTAGGAAAAATGCCTTTTGCTGTCTATTACTTAAATAAGTGCGTGGTTCGTCTACTACGGATTGGCCATTATTAAAGGAAGTCGCGCGAATAAGTTTATGATCTTTTTCACGAAGGCCGATTCATGGTAGGGATCTGAATCTGAAATTCCATTTTTCTTGTTCGGGCTTCCCCTATATACCTTAAATATACGGAAGCATGCTAAAATTGAAACACTTGATATAATACTGGGTCAATATCTAAATGTGATTTTCAATAATAAGCACTTTAGAATATGATTCGTTTGCGATAACTATACCTATTTGATACTGAGCAACATAATTCAGGAACAGTTCATCGAGCTGCTTCCATTATTATTACTTTTAAACTGTAAAACTTATTCGACCTCTCAATGTTTTTGAGCCTCAAGCATTACATATATTAAGCCCAAAATGCTCATAAAAGCTGGTTTATTTGTCAATGGCACAATTCAATTGTCTCCTGAAAAATTCAAATTGTGTAACATATCAGGTTTTTGAAATGATTGTTTCTATTGTATTTTACACAGATGAAAAGGAAAATCAGTAGCGTAGGTCAATAAGAGACGAGCTCAGTGATCTAGGAGTGGTAGAAGTCCAGATTCACAATATACTGGGTGGTAGTCTACTACTATTGCGGCTTGAGAAACTTCACATGTAATTTTTAATAATACCAACTGTTATTTCAGAACCATAGGTTTTCCATTCTGTGTCAAAATTTCTACTGTATATTTTGCCCTAAAAAGTATATCCTGGATATTTTCACTATTTTCTATTAACGGGAATGGGCAAAACCTTTCACCTCACTCCACAGCTTAAACGTAAAAATATACCCCAAAGATTGGACGCACCTAAAAGTTCTAGAGTAACGTAATTAGTTTGTCAATGCTCTATCATTTAAATGTACTTCAAAGATTGGCCTAACCATATTAGTAAATTTTCCCGAAATAATTGTTTAATTCGATTCAATCAAAAGTGTTGACAGGGACGAAAAAACTGCTCGTATAAGATTTTTAGGTATATATGAGACCTACAAAATGAGACTACACGTAAAAAGAACCAACTGATGTCAAAAAGCGAAAAAGCCGAAAAACGATGCAAAATGGTAATGCGACGATAATTTCACGTAACTACTTGAAATTCTTCAAATCCGTAGGATTCATACTTCTTAATAACAACAACAAAATTAGAGTATATTGGTCACATATTTTTTTGAGAATTTCTAATTTTTATCCTAAAACACCTGTTTTCCGGCCATACCTTCTAGTTTATTGCGCAATATACAGGGTTCGTTCAAAGAGCATTTAATTGCAAAATACACGTGGTTACCTTGCTGATATGAATCATAAACCAATCCGAAAGATAAACGTTATTTTTTGCGAACAACAAAGGTTACGGTTTTTCATCAAAGCAAGCATTAGGTATTTGTGAGTAATTGAACAAATGCGCCACGATATTCGAAAAACATACATTACTATACTCATTTTAAACCAAAGCGGATGTGTCTATCATCTTCTGTTGCGAATTACTCACAAATACGAAATGTTTAAATTTGTTAAGTAGAAAAAACATAACCCATACTTTTTTGCATAAAAATAACATTTATTTTCCGAAATGGTTTGCGATGCATATCGGCAAGGTAAACTAGTGTATTTTGCTATAAAATGCCCTTTGAACTAACCCTGTATATTGCTCAGTAAACTAGTAGTGATGGCAGGACGACAGGTGTTTTGGGATAAACAATTGAAAATTCTCAAAGACTACTTGACCAATCTACTCCAATGTTGTTGTCGTTATTTAGAAGTAAGAATCCTTCAAATTTGAAAAATTTCAAATATCTGTCGCATTACCACCAAGTGCCAAAACCTGCAATTTGCCTCGGTTTTCGGCCATAACTTTTTTGCTATTAGTCGGATCTTTTTTGGTCGTAGTTTTGTAGGTCTCATAAATACCTAAAAATCTTATATGAAGTTTTTTCGTTTGCCAGCACTTTTGATTGAATCCCTAAAAACACGTTTTCTCATTCTTTGTTGTCGAATAAAAAGTTGTCCCACAAATGATTGGTATGCCCATTTTGTGCGTCCATGTTTTGAATCCCGACTTGAATAACTTGCAGCGATAAAGCCAGACTTTACAATTATTTCGCAAACCAGGGGTATTTTCGTCTAATATGATTAGACTACATGGCTTTTATATCTGGTCATGTTTATACCGTAAGCTCACGTCAAACAAATAGCTGATGTATATGATGTGTCAATGCCAGAAGTATTTTGAAGCGGCTTTTATGAGCTACTTATTCATGCTTTCTAACAACTCTCTTATTTACATTTAGATTTACAAAAACAAAGCGGTGAAAGCTATATGACTAGTAATGGTCATGACTATTCCAAGTCAGGAAGGTATGAAAAAAAAGCTCCATCAGTTTGTGCTGTAGATAGATCTGCATAAAGTCTTGGGCTTCACCACATTCATTATAGACGACAGTACAGACTTTAATACAAGTATATGTCACTTGCTGATGATCTCAATCGGTGATGAAGAATCGTGAAAATAGATTAGATAGCGAAGTGCTTAGATAGCTATCGAGCACCTTAGTTATGAACGTACATGCCGTTCTGCGCCTGTTTACTCGGTGTGTTATGCAGGGCTAAGGCCCGTATCGTCAGTCGTCCCTACAATTGTAGGGCGCCTTTATGGCCTCCTTGATTGTCATAGTTTTCTACTTCTCCGTGTCAGCGCTCTATTTTGAGGTTATGTCACGAACATCTATTTGCATCAAATTGTACTTGCTTTTGAGTCATATCATGTTTCATCAGCCTGAAATTGCCTACAATTTAAAAACAAAACATATAGGAGAGCGCTGACGCTAGAAATTTTTGAAGGAGAGAAAGGAATATGACAATCAAGGAGGCCATAAACGCGCCCTACAATTGTAGGGACGACTGACGATACGGGCCTAAGCCCCTATGGTGTAACCATAGCCACTGTTTCAACAAATCAAGTTATATCGACTGATTCTGGGAATATAAAATACCTTAATCAGTCTGTTTCGGTGCGCGAATTTCAAACACGTTATTTAAACTGACGTACGAAAAAACTAGGAAGGATTGCATCATCCTTCATAAACAACTTGCTTCTGTTATCAAAAATGTCATTTTGTCTATGTGGCACTGGTTGCCAGTAAGCATTAATTTGCTTCCACTTAGGTTTTTGGTCTTCGTTTGCTTTAAAATACAGTATATATTCGCCGGAGTGTATACATGAATTTTGTAGCTGGAAATGTAAATAGCTTTGAAACTATTTACTCGAGTATATTAAACGTCATTCCATGGCGGTAAATCTAAATCACCAGCGAACGTTCTCCAGACGTGTAACAAAATAGCATGCGGGTCGTGCATATATTGAACACTTTACTCCATACATTTATATAACTGCATCCATTTCTGTGTTCTACATAGTGAACTACACAATGGCCCTATTGCTACGGTTGGCGAGGAAATTGTCTGAAATAAACACTCCAGAGTCCTGGAAATTATAGTGGGAGAATATAGTCGCCAGATTTAGGTGCTTTAGAATCGCAGCATCTAACATGATTCACTGAGATTGGTTCCTCGATTACTGTACGTAAACTCTCATGTTAGCATGCAAAATGTGGACTTGGCTATCGCATTAGGGCCACTATGCAGGCTTTGCACATCTTTTTCTTACTTAGGAGACTACGTTAAGCAGGCGCGGCATGGCTACAACAAAGCGGGATCGCAAGGCAGCCCTCGAGAAAGTACAAGAGGGACTCCCATTCGTGAATTTAGAACAACCAAAATTTGATCATTTTGATAAATCCTTTCCAAAAATCAAATTCTTCGGGCCATATCAAACAAAGTTTAATCGCTACCTGTTCTAAAATATTCTCTTGTTCCTCCTCTTTTGCTCTCTTCCTTATTTCTGCCCTTTTCTCTTTTTTCCCTTACTATTGCCAATTTTTTTGTTACCAGTCTCACGAACTGATTCTAACGGTGACTTGACGTATATTCCGTGCATGGTAACCACAGCAGCGGAGGGCACATTTTAATCAACTTCTTGCGTTCTATCGATGCCTTTGTTCAAATTTTGAATCGGCAGTTGGCTAGAGGGGAAGCAAGAGATGGATTACAGAGACAATCACTGAATAAGCTTCTAAAGTTCCATGAATAATTTTCTTAATCGCTGATAGCTCTACAGTATTTAAAGGATGAAAGAGGATTTTTCAAAGGGATGCTCGAAATCCTCAGTCAAAGATATTTTTCCAATATTTCAGCTGCTGGAAGAGCATTGAAGTTCTGTAGTTGGTGAATCGGTTAGGAAGCGACGAGTTTTATTCAGTTAACCTTTGTTTGACTCTCAGGATATCAGCTGAGGCGTCGCATAATGGAGAGCAAGTGACTCGTTTAGATTATCACGGATGAACTAGAATAACACGTTTGATGGAAACATTATTTTGTTCGAATTATGAGAAGCCAGATTAGTCTCAGATTGATCCAACGCATCACCCCTAGAAAAACCCTATATATCATCTTTCGTGATATCTATCGAATTAACTCAAATATAAAAAATGAAAGTGCAACGCTTATTGTACGCTAGTTTTACTTATTTGTCTATTCTCCATTGCAGAGAGTATCAAAATGGTCAGTACATACCAGCGGTGGCAGTATTTATAACTTGCAATTATATACTGTGTACAAAACACAAATAGAAAGTCGGACAAAATATCAGCACACCGTTGGACGTAATAACACGGGCACAGCAGTCGTTTAAATGCTCCTTTTTATTATTTTAGCCTGCTGAATACTGGCAAAACTTCTATAGAAGAGTCGGAGTTCATAGAGAGTTGAACAGCGTCAACGTGACTGCTGCAGAAACTCCAGCGGCGACGTTTTGTTTAATTACAACTCGGTTATGTAAGGGTTGAAAAAAGTACACATGGAAAGTTGTTCAATAAGCTTGTTCGAGTATGGAGGAAGTTTTATGAATGGGGGCTTGGAATATGTAGGCACATGTTGCATTGTATTTGAAAGCGCTAGCAGCATTATTGAACGTTTTGAAAATGTTGCGTTGGAGGTGGAGCCAGAAACCTCTGAAGTTTTTTTCTCTTAAAAAATATTAAGACTGGCCAATTCGATCAGCTAATAATTCTCCTGTTTCCTTACAAACAAAGAGGCAGAGGCAATCCATTATTGTCCGTTAGATAACCTTAATGTATGTATAATATAGTCACTAAGAACTTGTTAACGTGCTCTGATTTGAAAGAGGAAGCTTCTATGTGTTGATTCAGCCTTTTTCATACCTAGCCGCAACTTTCTTGATCTGATCGAAGACCAGAGGGATATTCAATCTCGATGATTATCCCTATTGCGAACGTATTAGGGAGCATTGACCTGTTCCGTAGAACTTTATATTGGAACCTTGAAGGGTTTCGATTTTTTTTTAAATTTGCTCCACTACGAAGGCCTGAGACCTAAACACCCGTGGGGCTATAGGAAGATAACGGGGAAAGGGGCTGCCGCCACACGGACTCTAGCGAGGGAACACGTGTGCATGCAACATGCACACATTCTGGCCTCGCCTGGGAGATCTGCCGGGTGGTACCTTCGCGTTCGACACTCAGGGACTGTCTAACACCTAAGGACAAACACAAAATTAATAACCAGGAGAAAAATTCTCCTGGGACGGGATTCCAACACGCGGCGACCAAAAACAGGTTTGTTCACTTCGTCCTCAGCTTGTAGCATAGCACATTAGTGGAATCTCCCGAGATCCCTATTGTAAGAGCTTTAAGTTTACTATAAATACCTCGAGGTGCGTAAATCGCCTTAGGAGGATCAAATCACTAATAAGGCGCTAAAGCTGATTTTCAGATGTCCTTAACTTATCTAGTGGCAATAGTCAATGCCATGCTAAGGACTCAGTACTTCCCATCCGCGCGGAAGACCTCTGAATTTATAATGATTCCAAAGAACGTGGGTTCGATATTTCTACAGGATTATCTATGCTCCCTGAAAACGTGATTCTACGTCACCTTGAGAATTTCTTCACAGAATCACCATCTGATTCCTGACGTGCAATTAGGTTTTGGGTGTGAGCATAGTATGGAGCTACAAGCGGTTAGGCTGGTGAGACGAGTAACCAGAGGATTCACTCTTAATGAAAGTACTGGCATCTTGCTTTTGGACGTCTCAAAAGCATTTGACAAGGTGTGGCACGCGGGACTTATGTATAAACCGATCCAAAAGGCTTCCCTTTTTGACTTCTAATACTATTCAAATCCTTGTTTGAAGGTTGGAGATTTTGGATCAGAATTGACTATGTTCTGTCGACAACACGGCCCATTACAGCCGATGTCCCTCAGGGTTCAGTTCTTGGACAAATCCTTTACTTACTGTACATCCATGATGTCCTGAGCCCAGCAACTGTGAAGTCTATCTGCATTGATAGTCCAATCGTGGTCTGGTAACCTAGTCCACGACAGGCTGCAATATGCGGTGAAGGAAGAATTAGAGTGGGCAGATCGGTGACTGATTAAAATTAACCACTGGAAAACGCAGGCAATCTATTGTACGAAAAGACGTCGCCTCACCCCGTCTGAGATTTCAATGAATGGAGCCATGAGAAAGCTGCGCTAAGTATCTCGGTGTCATTCTGACGAAAGGGATAACTCGGCGAAAGATTCGGGTTTATAATGTAGTCATAGGACCAGCAATGAGTTACGCTTGTAACAGCTTGGTATTCTATTGCCAAAACTTACACGCAAAAAAAAACTGCAAAGCAGGATGTTGCGCACTATTACTGACGCCCCCTGGTATGTCTCTACCGAAACCCTTGACGAGACCTCGATGTTCCTTACATAAGGAAATGATTTAAGCGACGGGCTCAGCGGCGCTGTAGCCAAACGGAATCACACAGAAAACCCTGTTGCGCGAGTCAGTCGATCAAATTCGCAAGCACAAAATGCCGCGGCTGTAATGAAAATTAATTCGTGAATTTAAAACAACCCAAATTGAAGTATTTTGACAAAATCCCTACAAATATTAAATTAAATCCACATCAAAATCCATCAAGTGATTTTGACAATGCCTAACCGCTCCCTGCCTTAAAATAATCTATTGTTCCTCTTTTCTCTCGTTCTTGCTTCTCTGCTTCACCCCAACTTTTTCGTTAAAATTGTCTGGTTTCTAAGTTACCAGAACTGACAGACTTACAAACTAACACTATGACACAAGAACTAAAGTCCCACGGACCGCTCTGACAACCAACGATGACTTGACCCCTCGATGCAGGGGCGGATTGGGAATCTGTCCAAGGAGGGAGCTACTCAATCTCGATGATTTGCGAACGTATCAAGGAGCATTAACCTTGTTCCTCAGAACTAAAGAACGGTGGGCGAGATATGTTCAGGGGAAGGCGAGGAGCGAATGACACACAATTCAGGTCTAGTAAGATTCATCGACATATACCTTAGTTTTAAAAAAGGCAGAATTGGAAGGCTAGAGGGTGCGCAGCCTCCTCGGCCCCTCTAAATTGTCTCGAAATTAATCTGACTACACGGGAAAAACATTAAAGACATTAGTAGCATCTTGAAGTCAATGTAAACTAGTGTCAGGAATGTATCATATACAGGGTGTTCCATAATTATTGACAAAATGATAGGGGTTGTAGAGGGCATCAAAATGAACAATTTTTCCTTATAAACCCCTGTTCGGAAATATGCCGTTTGAGCTGCAGCAAAAAAAAAAGATCAGTTTCTTGAAACAGCTTACCTACAGTAATTGCTCAAAGTGTCCTCCACCTTGCTCAATACACAGCTGTGCACGATTGTTCAATGATCGGCGAACTCTGTGGCATACCCCCGGTATGTCCTGAACATGTGCGGACGCGGCCATCACTCTTCCCAGTAGCTCTTGTTGGTTGGGAACAGGAGTTTCGTACACTAAAGCTTTCAGATAGCTCCAGATAAAATAATCCAGTGGGGTCAGGTCAAGTGACCGCGCAGGCCAAGGCACAGGGCCACCTCGGCCTATCCACCTACATATTTGGAAATTTGTCGTCCAAATACTGCCGCACTTGTAAAGAAAAGTGGGCTGGACCGCCATGGAGTTGAAACCACATGTTGGCTCTTATATTCAGTGGCACATTTTCTAATAGTTCCGGTAGCACATGCTGTAAGGATCGACCATAAGCATGCCCATCCAAACGTGGTGGAAGCATATATGGCCCGATGATATGCTCGTCCACAATGCCGCACCAGATGTTAATTGAAAACTGATGTTGGTCTCTATGGATGGCTATGGCATGAGGGTTTTCTTCATCTCAAATGTGACTGTTACGGCTATTAAAATAACCGTCCTTTGTAAAACAGGACTCGTCAGTGAACAAAACGTAGCGACCAAAGTTTGGTTGCCTCAACTCCTGCTGCAGCCACCAACGACAAAAACGTCGACGCGGCAGATAGTCTGCTGGACCCATGGCTTGGACTTTTAAAATGTGGTACGGGTGTACGATAACAAAAATGTAAACACAGCAGACTTTTTTTACAAACCGGCGAGACCATGAAATGTGCTAGACGAACATTTTGCAGCTGGTGAATTTTTTGTTTCTCCTATGAGCTCTTAAGGTAAAATTAACTGTAGTGCTCAAACGGCATATTTACGAACAGGGGTTTATAAGGCAAAATTGCATATTTTTATGCCCTCTACAACCCCTATCATTTTGTCACAATAATTATGGAACACCCTGTATATATATATATATAGGGAAAACGAACATGCGGAAAAAGGTATGTAACAAATAGAAAAATGATGGGCAAAATCCGCAAAAAGAAGGATAGTGGAATCAAGCAGATAAAATAGGATAGGTAACCCGAGCAATGCGTATTTCTGCTTGTTGACTTCATCAGGCCTGAAATGAATGCACATATGCACCTACAAAACGCGAGGTCTTCTAACCATTTTGTACAAGAATGTGTAGGTTGGCTCTTGTTGGTGACTTCGTGTATCATTTTTTCCCTCTCCATCGTCGTTTTCTCAGGATACAGCCGAATCTGGATGTATGGGCATGTGTATCTACTTTTGTAGTTGCATATGTGTATTTATTTCAAGCCTGATGAAGCCAACAAGCAGAAATACGTATCGCTCGGGTTACCTATCCTATTTTCTGCTCGAATCCACTTTCGTTCTTTTTGCGGATTTTAGCCATTATTTTTCTATTTGTTATATAACTTCTTTTCCCGCATGATCCTTTTTTCATTATAGATCCTTTGTGCTTGAAGTACCACAGCGAAGAACACCCTGTATAAGTTAAAAAATAAAGTCGAGTTCTACATCTGAAACATGATCTGACACTTTGCTGTTTGAAAATTCTTCCATTCCTGCATACATTACAAACATAAATATTAAAATTCTCATTAAAGCGGACACCGCGTACTACGCTCTAGTCCCATAAATATAGCATTACATGAGAGACGTTATAGAGGTTTTAGAGTATAATATATATCGTGATGGAAATTTTCTGTGTGTAGTACAAGGTTGTACTCGTCACACTGCACCTTGTCTCGGTAATGCACTTTTTCACAGCACTTCATCGCTGCATCAATAAATAGCTGCTGATTAGGTGTACGAGGAGGTACCCAAAATAATCAAAATAACATTTCAGTGGGCGGAGCTTGTGTAGGATACATTTCTGCTCCTAGAGGTGTAACTCATTACCAGTTCAGTGCCACCTGAGTTGTCGATTTGGCTTGTTTCGTTCCTCTGTAGCGATTATTTTTGCTAGAGCTGTTTCGTGCTTGTTTCATTTCTTACGATGGCAAGCTTCAGTGAGCAACGTGCATCTGTGAAATTTTGTTTTCTAATTGGTAAAAATGCTGCTGAAACGGTTTTAATGCTGAAAATAATTTACAA